CACGTCGCATACATAAGTATGGACCTGATTCAATGTGCTGTGCAAAATGTTGTCCCAATCGGACAAATATTGGGAGTTTGATGCATCATTTACATAAAATCGGTCAAATGGGAGCTATATCTAAATCTGAACCAATTTTCTCCAATTTCAATAGGGTTCGTCCTTGGGCCAAATATGTGAACTGTGCCAAATTTCATTCAAATCGTATCATATGCACTATGTTCACAAAAATGCATGGACGGACGGACATGCGTAAATCGACTCAAAAAATGTTTCTATACATATTCTCCAAAGGAACCATGTGTCTATCTCGATTCCTTTTGCCTGTTACAAACATATGCACAAATACATAATACCCTGCACCAGAGTGTTGTGAAGGGTATAAAAATGTTAGTCGGTGTTACCGACAAATTTATATCATCAGCCAATGACGTACCGCATGTTATATTCACTAATTCTGAGATTTGTGAGGGAGTAGATGTTAGTATAAATATTAACCAGTAAGGAAAGTTCAAAAGTCGGACGGGGCCGACTATATGATACCCTTCACCAGTATGGGTACATGCAAGACATGTTAATATCTACAATATCCTGTAGATATAGAAATTTCGCATACATCAGTCGGGACCTAATTCAGTACTCTGTGCAAAATTTTGTCTCAATCGGATAAATATTGGCAGTATGGAGCTTCATTTACATAAAATGGGACGACACTATATATAGCAGCTATATCTAAATCTGAACCGATTCCAACAAAATTTCACAAACATCAGTCGGGACCTAATTCAGTACTCTGTGCAAAATTTTGCATTAGTCGGACCACTATTGGGAGATTGGTGCACTATTTACATTAAATCGGACGAAACTAAAAATTGGAGCTATATCTAAATCTGAACCGATTTCAACAAACCTTGGCATATAACTATCTAGACCTAATTCAATACTCAGTGCAAAATGTCGTCTCAATCGGACCACAATTGGGAGTTTGATGCATCAATAAGTTAAAACGGGACGAAAATATATATGGAGCTATATCTAAATCTGAACCGATTTTCTCCAATTTGTCAATTTTCATCCAAATCGGATCATAAATGGGACCTGTACTTTGTTAACAAAAATACATGGACGGACATGCATAAATCGACTCAGAAAGTGATTCTATGCATATTCTCAAAAGGAACCATGGGTCTATTTTGATTTTTTTCCTGTTACAAACATATGCACAAAGACACAATACCCTGTACCACAGTTAGGTGAAGGGTATAAAAAGCGGGTTATATGTGGACTACCCCTAAAAGGGGGCCGAATATTAATAATTTTTGGAGGGAGGTTTGTTACCATATACGACTACAAAAAACTAAGTTACAAAAAATTTGGTTGAAAAAAGTCCTCAAGAACCCCAAAATACCAAAAATTTGGGGGTACCGTTATATGGGGACTACCAGAAAAACTGGACCTATGTTTATAATTTTTGGTGGAGTAATTTGGTACCCAATAAGAAACCAATGTACAAAATTTCACAGAATTCAGATATAAAACGAGCTCAAGAACCCCAAAATACAGAACATTGGGGATACCCTTATATGGGGACTATCCGAAAAAATGAACCTAATTTATAATTAGATAGTGATATTTGCTACCCAATAAGAACTCAAAGTACCAAATTTCATCGAATTCGGTAGAAAAATGCGATAAAAACCCCCAAAATACCGAAAATTGGGGGTACCCTTATATGGGGACTATCCGAAAAAATTGACCTATATTTATAATTTTTAGTAGGGAGATTTGTTACCCAATAAGAACTCAAAGTACCAAATTTCAGCGAATTATGTTAAAAAACGCGCTACATAACCTAAAAATACCGTAAATTGGGGGGTACCCTTATATGGGAGATATGCCTAAACGTAGACCGATTTTTTCCAATTTCAATAGGGTTCGTCCTTGGGCCAATTAAGTGACCTATGCCAAATTTCATCCAAATCGGATCATAAATGGGACCTGTACTTTGTTAACAAAAATACATGGACGGACAGACGGACATACATAAATTGGCTCAGAAAGTGATTCTATGTATATTCTCAAAAGGAACCATGGGTCTATCTCGATTATGTTTGCCTGTTACAAGGTCATTTATAACCTCCATGTGTCGTTTTTTATGTTGTGGACAGACAAGTTTTTCAACCGACTTAGCTCTATATGATATTTTGTGTTCTGATGGGGAGGAAAATCTATTTTGGAGATATCTCCCATATAACGACCCAGTGTTATTGTAGGTATTTCGAGGGGTCTAGTCCCATTTTCCAACCACCTTGGGACCTTGATGTGTTTGAAACAACATGTTTACAGAACATTTTGAATATAATAGCCAGTCCCGATAGAGTTTAAGTATTAATCAAACATCGAAATTTACGACGTTTTTACTTGTTAGTAAATACTCTCAATATTACATTTCGAAACCAATTAGTTGGAACAATGGAATGAAACAGTAAAAAAAAACACTAAGGAAAGTAGTAAAGTCGGACGGGGCCGACTATATGATACCCTTCACCACTTTGGGTATATTCAACAGATGAATCCTAACATTGTAAATCAATTTAAAGCAAAACAATCGGACACCCGTTGATTATTTGGATAAATATTTGATAAACATGAGAAGTTTGTTGCACCATTTACTTAACATCGGACGAAAATATATATAAAAGCTATATCGAAATATTAATTGATTTGATCGAAATCTGTCACAGGTTATGTTCTACAAATTTTAGTATGTTTGGGCATATCGGCCAAATTTCGAGTTCTTGGTGCATCATTTACTTAAAATCGGGAGAAAATATATGCTGGGTTTTGGTGCTTTGTGTACCATTTAACTAAAATCGGACGAAACTATATATAGGAGCTATATCTAAATCGGTAACGATTCCTACAAAATTTTGCAAACGTTAGGCAATATAAATTTCAGTACGTTATGCAAAATTTTGTAGCAAACGCCCTAACTTTGGGTCTTTTGTGCACCTTTTACTTAAAATCGGGTGAAACCATATCTAGGAGCTATATCTAAATCTAAACCGATTTCAACAAAACTTGCCACACGTTATGTTATAGTATATTCAGTACGTTGTGCAAAATTTTATGCCAATCGGTCGAACCTAGGGAGTTTGGTGCAGAATTTATAACTATTTTCTAGGTTATACTAACGTCAGTATCTTCTGCAAAATTTTGTGTAAAATCTGACGAAAATATATATGTACAAGCTTTATCTAAATCTGAACCGATTTCAACGAGACTTGCCAGGGATTAATTGATATTAACTACAGTTCATTGTACAAAATTGTGTGGCAATCGGACAAATCGGAAGAAAATATATATAGGAGCTACATTAAATCAGTAGTAAATATTCATGGGAGCTATATCTATATCTGAACATAACACACATCCTTCGTTATTCAGAACGCTATGCCAAATTTCGTGCAAATATAAAGAAACTATATCCAAATCTGAACCGATTTTCGCGAAACTTAACACACATCATTCTAGACCTAATTCATTACTCCATGCAAAATTCCGTTCAAATCGAAAGATATATAGGAATTTTGGTATACCATTTACATTAAATCGGACGAAAATATATATGGGAGCTATATCTAAATCTGAACCGATTTCCACGAAACTTAATACACATCATACTAGACTTTATTCAGTACGCTATGACAAATTTCGTGCAGATCGGAATATATATAGGGACTTTGATGCACGATTTACATTAAATCGGAGGAAAATATATATGGGAGCTATATCCAAATGTGAACCGACTTTTAAAAAACTTGACACACATCATTCTAGACCTAATTCATTACTCTGTTCTAAATTTCGTGCAGATCGAAAGATATATAGGGACTTTGGTGAACCATTTACCTTAAAACGGACGAAAATATATATGGGAACTATATCCAAATCTGAGCCGATTTTCAAGAAACTTGACGCACATCATTCTAGACCTAATTCATTACGCTGTGTCAATTTCGTGCTAATCGAAATATATATAGGGACTTTGGTGCACCATTTACATTAAATCGGACGAAAATATATATGGGAGCTATATCTAAATCTGAATAGATTTTCAGGAAACTTAACACACACATTAGGCTGTACTAAATTTCGTGCAAATCGAAAGACATATAGGGACCGTTTACATTAAATCGGACAAATATATATATATATATATATGGGAGCTATATCTAAATCTGAACCGATTTTTCCCAATTTAAATAGGGTTCGTCCATGGGCCGAATAAGTGACCTATGCCAAATTTCGTCCAATTCGGATCATAAATGTGACCTGTACTTTGTTCACAATTTAACATGGTCAGACAGACGGACCGACGGACGGGCATGCATAAATCGACTTAGAAAGTGATTCTATTCATATTCTCAAAAGGAACCATGTGTCTATTTCATTTCCTTTTGCCTGTTACAAACATATGCACAAAGACATAATACCCTGTACCACAGTGTGGCGAAGGTTATATACAATTGTATGATTTCCCGATCGTTTCCCGCCAATTTTGACCCTTTGTACCCTGAGAACGATTTTGATATTTTCCCCATTTTACCCCTTCTATATACCTAAAAAAGGTGGGATCTTTATATGGGGGCTTTGTTCATAATGGACATGTATCGAATATTTTCAGAAAATGTTTTATTTAGCCTCCATCAATTTAGCTCCATAGAATTTTATTCCGAACTTTATGGAATTTCCGACAAATATTTTGTGGTATTGCAAACGGGATGACAAATCGTTAATATACACCCTGCATCAATTTTTGTTTTGTCACTAACTAATGTCAAATTTTAAGTTTCCAGTTTCAGCTGGTGCCCTAACTGGCCATTTTAAGCAGCTGATTTACCTTACAATGGGCAGTTAGACATAAATATGTATACTATACCTATATAATTTTTACTCAAAATCTAAAGAATTTTGCTTATTTTTTGTTCTCATTTCAGTTAAGGGTCGCGAATGTACCACACACGAAGAATGTGCAGCGATAGAAAATTCCAGTTGTGTTCGAGATCCCGATGATTATAAAATGCGTTGTTTATGTGGCAATGATAATCCACCCAACAATGGCCTCTGTCCGGATGTTGTAAAAGGTAATTACGCTAATTTTGTAACTATGCTAGGTATTTTTTAGTTAATTTATCAATTCAGTATGTTGTTGTTGTTATTTTTTGACTACGATACAAAATGAAGCATATTGTCCTTGGCATATTTAAGTGAACACACATATTTAACGATGTGATGATGATAATAAGCAGTATTTGTTAAGCACTTCAATTAGCAGTTGCTTAGGCGTTCCTTCATTAAAATGTGTAAATGTGATGTGATGTTGTCAGCAGGATTTTTACAACGAATAATTAGATGACACTTTTCTATGAAACAGAAAAAAAATGTCTAAAATTAGAATAAGGTTTGTTTTTCGTAATAGTTCATATGTATGCCGGGCTTATGATAGGATGAAATGGGCCAGGAGGACGAGTCTTCAAGATATAATAGATGGATCACACATATTGTTTTGTTCATATGACAAATATTGTGAAATAATTATCGCAATTGGTCTCATATGACCAATTATACCTATTGCGAAAAATATTTAAAAAAATCAGCCACATGTTAAGGAATAGATGGAAAAAATTACAAGACATAAATATCAGGCACAACGTAGGACAAAGGACAACGCAAGGAAAAATTTTATCACCACTGCTCTGGGTTACCGCTATCAATAATCTCTTGATCTTAACTAAGGAGGGGTTTGAACCCATTTGTTATGTAGACTTCTGAGGGGAAAGAATCCAAACTTCTGACTAATATTTCTGAGGGAAAAGAATCCTAACTAGTTGTGTAGGAAGCCAGGAACGTTGTTATACATCGCCTATATTTGGGTGAGGACGAGAGGCCTTAACTTAAATTCGGCCTTTGTCTTTACTAGAAAGACAGAAATAGAAGAGTACGAAGAACCCATCTTCAAACAAAAAAAAACACAGTGACAATCATATCGAAAAAAGTTAAATATATTGGGTCATACAGATGCTGGTCCTTCTGCAGAAGAGACGTATGCTCTAAATGGGGTTTAATCCAAAGATGATATATTGGATCTATAAGAGCTTTATTTGACCACTTCTAACATAAGCGTGGGTAGTATGTTGGACAGCAATGTACAAAAGATGTAATTTGAAATCCTTACAGAAATTCCAGAGAATTTGGCGGAGCAACACCAACTAGATCTTTTGGATCCAATTGACATCCAAATAATTGGATCCAACAAGTGAATCGCAGCGAACACAATAGACCACAATAATACATATCATAGGCCACAATCGGATTCTTAAATAGTAGTTTTAAGTCTGATCGAATACCTAAAATAATAGTACACACAAGATGTGAGACTGTGATACCAGACAGGGACTCATGGTATGGTGGAGCAAGAAAGTCGGGACTGGGGTTTTCGTTTAAAAACTAAAACGGAAATTCCACATCACTTCAGACGGATGTTCAAGCTATGACGCAGTGTCTGAACTGGTTAAAAAAACTGAATAACTTCACAAACAAAACAGAATTCCTAGAAGTTTAGCGCCATAAAATGCCTTCTTCCAAATTTCTTCCTTCTTTGGAGTACCCATCAGATCACTTACAGGCTTAAGTATATATCCTAATATTGGCATGTGGTGGTGTAAACAACACCTCTTTTCAACCGAACCTAACATAACCTAGTGCTAATATCGAAAGGCAATTCGGTAGAAAAATGTGTATGTTATACTAGGTGTTCTTATCTATGTCAAAACCTGAGTTTATATTCATAGAGTACGTCAGTCATTTGTATTTATTTACAATGTCGACAACTGGGTCACACCTGTTCGATAAGTATCATCGTCTACAGGCTCTCTTTCATATCGTTGAACCTCTCTCTCTTAGATCATGCAGATCCTTCCAGATCCAGGTACATGGTCCACATGTGTTACTAGGAGTCAATTAGTTACGGATATCAGGGTGGTGTTGTGAAAAGTCTGAATACTTTGCGCGGCACTAATATTCGAGGACAATACTGGCACCGCATATCTGAGCGCATAACGATTTATTGATTTAAAAGAGGTTAAACATTTTTCTTTATCAGAGCCCCAACAGCGACTTGAGGACAGTGTTCCTACCTTTTTAGTTAGCGCAGATAGCCCTTATATGCCCTCGACCTGCATATTTAATTGCATTTTTAAATCCTCAGATCCAAGGTTTGGTATGCAAGATTGACGATATGTTCAACCTTATACACATATCTTTAAATACAGGATCTGTATACGTAAAGATCGCGGTACCGTATGACAGGCTTAGAATACCAGAAAGGTAGAATTCGATAGCTATGGAGATGTCAACCCCTACCCTGGGTAACTCCTTGCAACACTTTACGGTTGTGATCTTCTTTTTACTCCAAGTACGACTGGCGTTTACATATACAGGGTGAGATAACACAACTGCAACAAAGTCAAACGCCTTATTTTTTATTTTTATTGAATGAAAGCAAAAAAAAAAAAATGTCGGAAATAGCATCAAATTTTAGAATAAGTTTAGATTTGTTCGAATTGGTCACCTTTGGCACGAAATATGGCCTAGAAAAGAAGCGTTGTGCGCTAGGAAAGAAGCGAAGAACCTCAATTTTTAACCATTTTTGGGTTGTGCGTGCTGAGTGTGATGGTTCGAAGTCCTATTGGAATGTCCAAGGTCTGCGGCCAAAATGTTTGCGTGCTCAAGGCTTTAATACACCCTCCAGAATATTTTCGCGATAATATTCGGCATTGTGATTATGGGCTGTTATGGCGGCCCACACCATCACCATGACCGGCGCATGAGTTCTGGTGGTCAGCCAAAGGTGCAGCTGACCTCCTTGCCAAGTAAACACGATCATTTTGTTTGTTTACAAACTGCTGGACAACGAATGTTTTTTCATCAGAGAAACCCAAATTCGGCAGTTCACCACATTCGGCCAAGCGAAGCAACTCTTTAGCTCTTTTGAATCTATTTTCTTTCTGTTGCGGTGTAAGTTCTTGAACTTTTTGGAATTTCAATGACTTTACCCCGAGTTTTCGAACAATTCCTGCTGACGTTGCTGTTTTCTTCCGTCCACTTTTTTGACGTCGGATAGCGTAGCCCGATCATGGTACGAGACACAAATGATTTATTCACATTTAAATGCTGACGTGCTCTAACGATAACCACATGTGGTTTTCCAGTCAAATATAAAGAAATCACACGACCACGCTTGAATTCCATTCCGAATAACTTTTTTTTCTGGAAAATTCTCACCAAAATGCTTTTGTACGCTTGTAAACAACATAATGAGCTGTCACTGGAATAACTTTAACAGCTGTCGGACGAGTGGCTTAGAAATGACAGCAGTCTGAAGTTGGTTGCAGTTTTTTCATCTCACCCGCTACAATTTATTGTCGAACGTTTCGAACTTGGCCGGAGGGTAGTATTCTGGACGTCCTCCATGATTGACGGTGTCAACGGGCTTGGGTTTAGATCTCGACTTATTTGTGTGAAAATTATATGTTGTATTGTGTTGCCTCTGGAACTAATGCTGATGATCCGCAACTGAATAGCTTACAACGTAGCACTCTTTGTCCTGTTAATACCAGGATACCCGACACACTGTCGCAACAGTCACAGTTTCATCGTCCAATGTGATCCTTCTTACCAGGGTTCGAGAGCGACTCATGATTCTAATGATGATGCAACAATTTAGATGCTCTCGATTAATTTTAAATATTTAGAATGCCGCCTTTATGCTGGAGGTTTGGGTCGTCCATTCCCATTCCCATTTTGGGTAAGACATGTCATTGCGAAAAATATGAAGGATGGGTATAAATCATATTGCTTATTTTATTTTACATTCAATATTTAAACACCGACATTACTTTTTGTGCTCTTTGAGCAAATATATTGAGTCAAACCACCACAAGCAACCTTCCAATTGTACTCGAACTCTAAGACCTTGTTCATGATGATGAAAGTCATCATAACCTAAAGTTGAATGCGTGTCAACTCTGCTTATTTCATTGTTATTTCTTTCTTTCTTCCACCACAATGCAGGGCAGAACAAATCAAATTGTAAGACGAAGTCTGTCATTCACTATAAAAATAAAACCTTCACCTTAACATAGCCTTAACATCATCTCACATTGGCCAAGTAGTAATAAAAACAAATTATGGAAACTAATAAACGAAGGAAAGGTCGTAGAGAAGTTAAAAAAAACTCAAAAAATGAAATATGTGGCACAATGAAATACATATTTACTTCTGTATATGATTTATGTGGATGTTGAACAAAATTCGTATATAAATTATGAAAATAAATTTTATAAGTATTTTATTAAATTTGTTTATTACCTTTGTTGTTTCTTTTTTTTTTCTAGGTCTCCGTCATCGATGCAGTGGCAACTATGAATGCGAGGATGGCCTTATCTGTACCTATGAGAACACGAACCGCACCATTGGTGTTGCCAAGTTTATGTCGTCAAAAACCAAATTGTGTTTGTGTGACAATGAGCGGGGCTATTTTGAGGATGTCCATCGTGATATCTGCAGTGGTGGTAAGTGGGCGGGCGGATGTGTGTTTGTGTGTGTGGCACAAAAACCGCAAAATTATTTAAGGATCTATTGTTGTAATTTATTTAACATGCATTCCATTTGTATAAAAACACTTAAGAAGGAATCTATTTGTTTGTTAGTTGGATAATCTTCCAAAGGTAGAAGAAATCGAAAAGGTGTCACTTCAAGATTTGAAGCGACACCTTCGAGGAGCAGGAATGGTTCGTGTGATGCATTTTTGGGTTTTCGACTGCCAAAAAGTTGTAAACGTGGAAAACTTCATATATCAATATTTTCACCAGATGTAGTTACTTGCAAGAATATATAATATTATTATTATTCCGTACTTGTCCTGATTTTTTTTTACTTTTTATACCCTATGCAACTGTGTTTTACACAGCTTAGTGAATTGGGTTCAATATGATATATGCGAATTTTTCTTCAAATCGGTTAAGATTTGGATATAGTTCTCATATATATTTTCTTCCGATTTTAAGTGAATGATGCACCAAGGACCCACAATATGGCCCATATGCACAAAGCATACTTAAATAAGTATAACGTAACCTCTGACAAGTTTTGTGGAAATCGAGAGAAGACCAGATAACATGGTCTGACCATGGACAAGCATGACTGTTTGGTATATTTAGCGGGTCAAATGGACTCAGACTTTTGTGTGAAAAATGACAAAATATACATTCCATGGCGTATATATTAAAGTATGAAGGATATACAGGGTGAGATAAAAAACTGCAACAAAGTCAAACGCCATAATTTTTATTTTTTTTAATTTTATTGAATTGAAGCAAAAAATGTCGAAAATAGCATCAAATTTTAGAATAAGTTTAGATTTGTTCGAATTGGTAACCTTTGGCACGAATTATAACCTTCAAACGGCCAAAGAAACCGTCACACTCTGCCGGAATGTTGCTCTGCGGTATTTTGGCCCATTGCCGGCGAAGCGCTTACTTGAGGTGATCGACACTTTGGTATTTTTTATCGCCAACCTTGCATTCCAAAATACTCCAGACACAATAGTCCAACGGATTGGTATCCGGAGATTTTGGTGGCAATTGTGCGCTGGAAATGAAGCGAGGAATCTCATTTTGTAACCATTATTGGGTGGCGCGTGCTGAGTCCTACTGGAATGTCCAAGGTCTGCGGCGAAAATGTTTGCGTGCCGAAGGCTTTAATACACCCTCCAGAAAATTTTTGCGATAATATTCGGCATTTATTCTGATACCACTGTTATGGCGGCCCACACCATCACCATGGCCTGTGCTTGAGTTTCTGGTGGCCAACCGAAGCTGTACATTTTCAGCTGACCTCTTTGCCAAGTAAACACGATCATTTTGTTTACAAACTGCTGGACAACGAATGTTTTCTCATCGAAGAAACCCAAATTCGGCAGTTCACCACTTTCGGCCAAGCGAAGCAACTCTTTAGCTCTTTTGAGTCTATTTCCTTTCTGTTGCGGTGTAAGTTCTTGCACTTTTTATACCCTCCACCATAGTATGGAGGGTATATTAATTTTGTCATTCCGTTTGTAACTCACCGAAATATTCATTTCCGACCCTATAAAGTATATATATTCTTGATCAGGGTCTGTCCGTCTGTTGTAATCACGCTATCTTCCGAAGGAATTGAGATAGGGTGCTGAAATTTTGTATAGGGCTGCCTTTTTTCTGCAGGCAGGTCAAGTTCGAAGATGGAATATATCTGTCCACGTTTAGGCATAGCTCCCATATAAGGGTACCCCTCAATTTTCGGTATTTTGCGGTTCTTGGACGCGTTTTTCAACCGAATTCACTGAAATTTGGTACATTGGGTTCTTATTGGGTACTAAATGTCTCCACAAAACATTATAAATATAGATCCACTTTTTCTGATAGCCCCCATATAACGGTACTTCCTAATTTTCAGTATTTTGGGGGTTTTGGTCGTATTTTTCCACCGAATTGGCTGTAATTTAGTACTTTGGGTTCTTAATTAGATTCAAATCATTCCACAAAAAATTATGAATACAGGTCAATTTTTTGTGGTAGCCCCCCATATAAGGGTACCCCCAATTTTCGGTATTTTGGGGTTCTTGAGAGCGTTTTTCAACCGAATTCGCTGAAATTTGGTAAATTGGGTTCTTATTGGGTACCAAATATCTCCACTAAAAATTATATATAAGTCCATTTTTTCTGGTAGCCCCTATATAAAGGTACCCCCAAACTTCGGCATTTTGAGGTTCTTGAGAGCGTTTTTCAACCGAAATCACTGAAATTTGGTATTTTGTAGCCGTATATTAATAGTCAACCCCTTTTAGGCGTAGTCCCCATATAACCCCATTTTTATACCCTTCACCACACTGTGGTACAGGGTATTATGTCTTTGTGCATATGTTTGTAACAGGCAAAAGAAAACGAGAAGACACATGGTTCCTTTTGAGAATATGCATACAATCACTTTCTAAGTCGATTTATGCATGTCCGTCCGTCTGTCTGTCCATGTTAAATTGTAAACAAAGTACAGGTCGCATTTATGGTCCGAATTGGATGAAATTTGCATAGGTCACTTATTCGGACCAAGGACGAACCCTATTGAAATTGGGAAAAATAGGTTCAGATTTAGATATAGCTCCCAAATATATTTTCGTCCGATTTAAGGTAAATGGTGTACCAAAGTCCCTATATATCTTTCGATTTGCACGAAATTTGGCACATCGTAATGATTAAGGTTTAGAATGCAGTGTATTAAGTTTCGTGAAAATCGGTTCAGATTTAGATATAGCTTCCATATATATGTTCGTCCGATTTATGGTAAATGGCGTACCAAAGTCCCTATATATCTTTCGATTTGCACGAAATTTGGCATAGCGTACTGAATTAAGTTTAGAATGATGTTTGCAAAGTTTCGTGAAAAGCGGTTCAGATTTAGATATAGCTCCCATACATAGTTTCGCCCGATTTTAGGTAAATTGTAAACTAAAGTCCCTTGAAATCTTTTGATTTGCAAGAATTGTGGCATAGCGTACTGAATTAAGTCTAGCATGATGTGTACTAAGTTTCTTGAAAATCGGTTCAGATTTAGATATAGCTCCTATATATATATATTTTCATCCGATTTAAGGTAATTGGTACATCAAAAACCCTATATATCTTCCGTTTTGCATGAAATTTGGTATAGAGTACTTAATTAAGTCTAGAATGATATATGAAAAGTTTCGTGAAAATCGGTTCAGATTTGGATATAGCTCCCATATATAGTTTCGCCCGATTTTAGGTAAATGGTGTACCAAAGTCCCGATATATCATTCGATTTGCACGAAATTTGGCATAGCGTAATGAATTAAGTCTGGAATGATGTGTGCTAATTTTCGTGAAAATCGGTTCAGATTTAGATATAGCTCCTTTTTTTTTCTTCCGATTCTATGTAAATTGTGCACTAAAGACCCAACGTTTTAGTAGTTAATATAAGTTAATTTCTAGAAAGTCTCATTTAAATCGGTTCAGGTTTTGATATAGCTTCTGCATATATATTTTCGTCCAATTTTACACAAATTTTGCACAACGTACTAGAGTTAGTATAACCTAGAAGTTGGATATAAATGCTTCACCAAGGTGGGTCCAATCGGCACAAAATTTTGTAATACGTACTGAAGTTACTATAATGATTTAGATTTGGTCAAAAATTCGCCGTCTGTTAGGATTCATCTGTTGAATATACACAAAGTGGTGAAGGGTATCATATAGTCGGCCCCGTCCGACTTTACTACTTTCCTTACTGTTTTTTCTCTGGTTTTCTGGTCGCTTTAGAGGTCACAATCACAAAATTTTAAACATGGTCTGACCATGGATAAGCATTTCTGTTTCGTATATTCAGCGGGTCAAATGGACAAATAATTTTGTGTGGAAAAGGACAAAATGCTCATGCCATATATATATGCTCATATATATATATATATTTAAGCCAGAAGACATAGACCCGAGAAGTTGACAATATATTCAATATGAGTGGTTGAGCTTGAAATTGATTATTTTGATGGCTAGGAAATTTTGCATTAGGTTCAGTTTATGGTCATGGACGAAGCATATAATTTTCGGTATAAAAATTCGATCCGACGGCTTCCAGAAATCTTCTTTAAATGGTGGATTTTTATTAAAAAATTTCTGTCATTAAAGGCCTAAGTATTTATATGAATAAGGGTTTATTTTGGTTGATCTATTCATAGGTCTTTCTGTCTTCTGTAAATAGAATACCTCTTATAGGTCTTCTATACCTTGGATAACGTCGGAGACCTTATATAAGTCATATATACATAGAATATCGTCTATGAACCCTTTACATACAGAGTAACTTATCCACGTTCTCTATAAATAGAATTCCTTCTATTGGTTTTCTATACACCGAAAAATGTGTACGCCTTTATATATGGGTCTTCTATAAACAGGCTTACTTCTATAGGTCCATCTTCTGTTGGTATTCCTTTGGACTTTCACACATAGACTCCCAATGTCTTCTATACGTGAAGTATACATAGAATACCTTCTTCAGGTATTCTAAAATACCTGTTAAAATTTGTTTTATGATAAATGGTTTTCTAAAGGCCATTTATAGTTAGGAGATACTCTGAGGGTTCTCCTATATAGAAAAATCCTTTCAAAAGAAATGTAAAAATAATGATCCGTAAATTTGTTTCTAATTCATATTTATCTACATATATCTAAAATTCATTTATTTTTCTTTTTCATTTTAGCCGTTATGCAGGCCATAAGCGATTTGGTGTTATCAATGCTGACATCCCTATTACCGCCCATTGTGTATTCCTGCTTAAAGAATCACTTCTAAAAATAGTAGAATTAAAAATTAACCAGCAAAAAAAAAAAAAAAAAAAAAAAACGACAAAAATAAAACATCACAGCATTTTTTGAAAGAAAGGAAAACCAATATAATTAAATATTTTTAATGTAGATTACCAATTTTTTTGGCACCAAAAAATAAAACTATTTTCATTTTCATATTAGAGAAAAAATAAATAAATAAAGAAACCCATATAAAAAGAATAAAATTACAAATGAACCAAAGAATGTAGTTTAGATATTCTGTCAATTAATCTTTACAAATACATACAAAAGAAAAGAAAACAATCGTTCATATATTACTGTTATCAATTAATTTTTAAACAAATTTTCTAATTAAAAAATCATTAGCCTAAGATGAAGCTTCAAAAAATTAGTAAATAAAGCTATCACTGCACTACCAACAAATAAAAAACGAAAACAAAATATTCTACATCTGTGATTGTCATCTACATATGTATGTTATGTTAATATGCAAGTACTTTATTATTTATAAATAAAAAAACATCAATTATGAAATTAATAAATTTAAATAAATAAAAAATCAACATAACCAGTAGTTTATAGTATGTGGACTAGGCAAACATTGAGTGATGTCGATATTTTGAAGTTTTATGTTGAGTGTTTTATTTTTGTAATTTTTATACCCTTCACCACCCTGTGGTACAGGATATTGTGCCTTTGTGCATATGTTTGTAACAGGCAAAAGGAATCGAAGTAGATCCATGGGTCGATTTGAGAATATACATAGAATCACTTTCTGAGTCGATTTATTCATGTCCGTCTGTACGTCCGTGCTCCCATGTATTTTTGTGAGCAAAGTACAGGTCGCATTTATGATCCGATTTGGATAAAAAGTGGCATTTATTTGGAGAAAATCTGTTCAGATTTAGATATAGCTTCCATATATAGCTCCCATACGATGTTATATAAATGGAGTCCCATACCGTCAGTTTTATGTTCACAACTCCATCCAATTTCATACCAATTTCATGTATTTTGTAAGACCATCATATGGTAAGGGGAACAATACGTTAATTTATATTAAATTTCATGTTTAAACTAAATAAATTTGTATAGTTTCCCCAATAAATTGTTCAAAAACAACAAAAAATATATGCATGGTAACATTTTTGACAATATATTTGCATGTGGATTTTAATAAAAAAATACAAATTAATTTAATCAAATGTTCTAACAATGATTGTTGTTGATTTCTTACATTGCATGTGGAATAATATGGAATAATAAATGATTTATAATCATTCAAGAAATACATCTGTATACTTTTTGTAGTTTTACAGTAGAGTCTTAGATATTGAAACGCAATTTGGAACATATACATATAAATATATAGAGAAGAGGGGGCACCTTTGAACACTTTTTTCCTTCAAGCCTCATAAAATTTTTTATTTTATAATTTTTGGTTTCTTATAAATTTTAACTAAGGTGCCCCAGGGGGGCACCTTTGAACAAGGCTTGATATTTTTGAACGGCTTGGTTTTTTACAGTGTTTATGTTAAAATATAAAAAATGTTTAACGAAAGAAAACGTTCACCGAATTCTTCCTACAACCAAAAGAATAAAAGTTTGCAATTACACTGCGAAAACATGGTCATCCATGTACAATTTGTCGACAACTGAAAAAGGTAGCCAAAGTGGTTTACGCAGATAAAGAAGAAGATTGTCATATACAAAAATGTGGTAGCGGGTCGGAAAAAATTTAAACCAAGATTTTATGAGCGCTGTTCAAAGGTGCACCCGTTCAAAAGGTGCTTCCCTCTCCCCTACATATATGTATTTGCTTTTCCGATGAATCTGCAATAGTCGTTCATTTATCGAACGAACCTAATATTTTATTTCAGGCATTGACAAATTATTTTCTATTCAGTAACCCGGAATCCACTGTATTTGTATATTAATTGACAATTTAGTCCTGATTTATATTAGGCGAGTTTACTTGCGGCAATTTTTATCGTTCTCTTTTGAACTTGCTCCATGCGTCTATATACAAGGCAATTCGGTTTCCAAAATATTTTTTTATTTGTTGTTTTTTCACATTTAAATATATATAAAATGTCAACAAATACGAAATACACAAAACGAATTGCCAGAAAATTGTCGGTACGAGCAATTTTTTTTTCATTTCTATACCCCTTGCCCCTCTCTCCTACAAACAAAGACTTGCCTTATCTAAATCAAGACTTATATGGAATTATTACATGCATATATATGAATATACATATGAATATGTTTATAATAGAACTAGAATAGTATACAATAACAACGATAACTCATAATAACACTCTTGTCATTATTAGACATGCAAAGGTTATTGATATTAACTTTAATCGAAAATAAACAAAATTAAATTGCTTAAATACAAAAATATTAAATGGGATAAATAACAAGTTATATTCAATTAATTGAAAATGAATCTAAGGAAATAACATTAAATCTATACATTTAGTAGAAATGATCTAGTAATATATATATATATATATATATAGGAGGTGATGCAAATGTTTGTTTTTAGTTTGCCAAATTTTTATTTTTTATCCGATTAAATTGAAATTTTACACTTAACATGCTACATGTGTTGTCTTTCCATGTATCAATTTGAAAATAATATTATTCTAACAATTTAAGAGATATTTGAGAAAATGTTTGAAATTCCATAAAAAGTGATTTTAAAAAAAGTGCAGGTAATGTGGTATACCACATGATGTTAATGTGGTATAGTACAATTTTCACCTCCAATTGATATCTTATATAATTTATTGGTTTTAATGAATGTGAATTAGCCCGAGATTTATGTCTGATTAAGATTTTTAACGGATACGTTGAGTGGAACTTTAATTTTTATTATATAATAATGTCTACGCATGGCAATATTTAATTTTTGTATGGCGAAGTTGTTAAAACTCATAGCCTTTGTTTTTCATTTTTTTTATGCTTCATGGTAGACTCTCGTAGAGTACAAATGTTTCAAATGGTAATGATAACCCTAAAAATACCAAAATTTAATAATTAATATTTTTTTATGGACATTTGTTACCCAATTAGAAAAATCCTGAAAAAATATTTCACTGAAATAAATATTGTTCAAGGTTTTAAAATTATATATGACAAAGATGACAGATTATAGAAATATATGACGGATGGCGGACATAAATTTTATAGATGACAGCCAGTTAAAAAAATATATGATTATCCTCTTATATTTATATATATATATATATATATAGGGTGAGATGAAACAAGTGAAAAAGCGGTAAGTTCGGCCGGGCCGAACTTTGGATACCCTCCACCATAGTTATATTGACAGGTACTATAAATGAACATATAGGGAACATACCAAAAAGTAGACCTATACCGACATTTCTAAAAACGGATTATGTAAACCATAATAAAAATTTAAAAAAATTTTAAAGGATAATTATACCCTCAGCCTTATGGCTAATGGGGGTGTATACACTTTAACACGATGAAAATATGCATAATCGAAATATTGGTTCTAGACCCCATGTTTCTTTGGACCAAATCCGTTTAAGAAAATTTAGATTTCATCCGAACTTTGCCCATCTTATTATTTCTTCCAAGCTTAATTCAAATTCGAAGATGGGGAATATCGCTCCACTCCTTCTGAAACCTCCATTCAGGGGCTAGGTCTAAATGCGGCTATAGTTCATTACCGAACCTTACGTTCTAAATTTTTATCCCTCTATCCTCCGCAGGTGAAATGATTACAAAAGGGTCTTAGAACCAAACTCAAAACGCGCAACACATCAGATAACTACATATTTTAATATAAAAAAGGGGGTTATATGGGGACTACCCCAAAAAGGGGGGCGAATATTAATAATTTTTGGTAGCGAGATTTGTTACCATATACGACTACAAAATACCAAAATGCAGCAAATTCGGTTAAAAAACGGTTAAAGAACCCCAAAATACCGAAAATTGGGGGTACCCTTATATGGGAGCTATGCCTAAACGTGGACCGATATAGCCCATCTTCGAACTTGACCTGCCTGCAGACAAAAGACGACTCTATGCAAAATTTTGAGGCTCTATCTCAATTCGTTTAGACGCTAAAGTGATTACAACAGACATACGGACATGGCTAAATCGTCATAGAATTTTACGCTGATCAAGAATATATATACTTTATAGGGTCGGAAATGAAAATACCTTTTCAAAATATCTTAGTGAAATTTCATAAAATTTATGGGTCGATTATGGATAGCAACCAAACTCAAAAAACCAAACCAAACTGTTTTGACATTTCTACAACTGGAAATATTGTAAACAAACCCAAAAAATGAATAAAATATTTCAGAACTATTTTTTGATGATGAAAATTATGTTCAAGGTGTGTCATTTATTAGAAGCCATTTAAGAGATAAATCTATTAGAACTACCATCAGTTCTGTGAGTAGATGTTGACGTTTAGAGAAATGTTCAATCAACTGCTCATATTAGTTTGAAGGCGTATTTTCGACTAGCAAAAGATGCCGTTGTGTTCATAGATGAAGCCCCTGATTTCTGAAAAGCCTGGCGGTCAACAGTAATTCCCCCTCTCTTAAAAATGTGTGCAGCTCTTATGTTTTCTGTGGAGTGAAGTTTTCAAAAGTCCCATAGCAATGACTTCAACCTTGGCATGGCTCAACCGACAATGTCGGTGGTTTTCGCCGAAGTTATCCGCCTAATAGAGGAAAAACTGTGTAAAATTTTGATTGTATCCAAATTAACGGAGGAGGAAAAAGGGAAGAATACAATTTTTTATTCGAAAACTAAGTTCCAGGGTGTTGTCGGATGTATTGATTATACACACGTACACATCATGGACCCAAAAAAATATATTCGCCACTTTCTGCCATTCATTTGGAATGCGTGTTGGTGGGCCATAGCAGTTAAGATCTTCTGAAATGGCCTTCCACACATCATCGATAGTGGCTTTGGTTTGACCAAAAAACCGCACGCCGCGTGCTACATTTGGGTGAGCTTCCATCCGGGCAATAAGGACCTCAAATTGTTCTTTTGTAGTAATATTAACCATTATGGGAAGCCTACGAAGTTCAGTTATTATAAACAGCAACCAGAAATAAATGGTAGCCGAAAAATTCTATTTGAAGGAACTGAAGTTGACAACAGTTGCCATCCACAATGCAAATTTGGCAACTGGCAACGCAACTAAACTATGGTTGCCATCCGTAATCGACCCATTATTTTTATTAATTAAATTTGTTACTTTGTTTTAATTTACAAAAATATATATTGATCAAGAACATACATTTTATAGATGACAGCCAGTTAAAATACATGATTGTCCTCTAAAAATGAGGACGTATGGTCACCTTATATATAGGGTGAGATGAAAAAATTACGTTGCGTCAATCGGCCTAGCTATGGATCTTTTCACGAAGCTTAGCAACATCATTCTAGACATAAGTCAGTACCATATACCAAAATTCGTGCAAATCGAAAGATATAGGGACTTTGGTGCACCAATTACAAAAAAACGGACGAAAATATATATTGGACTGGATCTTGTAAGTATAATTATGTTCAATCTCCTAGAATATGGGAACTGTGTCCAAATCTATTATAATACCGAAATGGTGAAAATGGTACCCAAATATATAGGCTACACCAAAACGTTAAGCTATATCGCAAATTGTCTTTATGTAAAAATAAAAATTAGAATTTCAGCAACCAAAATTTGCCAAGTGTATAACAAGACTTTCCTCTTTTATAAAAATAAGTAATTCGATTTGACATTCAAAAACATGAAATACAAAATATTTCCAAAATGTCTTGTATTTGTGAATATTTTGTACATTCTAAAGATCCAGACTTGAGCTCTAGTACCACCACTGATTCAAAACTCTCTGTAAATCAATTGGCTAATAAGAAGTAAGTGCAATCTATATTATCTTGCAAAATAATTCTAATACTATTTAATTTAGGGAAACCTCCTCCTGTGGCAGTGATGCCTCGGCCACAGATTTTGCATCGGCTAAGGCTGAAATATGGCTATTAAAGAAATCCCTACGGGAAAATCATATATCCATCGAGAATTTAGAGAATCTAATTAAACTAATGATGGAACGACAAAATGTTATGCTAACGGAAATCTATCATCTGAAACGTTTAAATTATGAGTTACGTGAAGAATGTCGCCTGCAGAGGGATTATCATTCGATGGAACGAAATGCTCTGTTAAGGGAATTACACGATATTAGGGAGTTGCTTAGCAGTCGTTCCAAAATGCTGGTAAATTTGAAATGCAAATGTGTTCGAATGAAAGTGTGTTTTTAAATTTCTGAAGTCTTTGTAGGAGGAAACAATTTTGAAAAATGCCGAATTAATAAATGCCGTACAGGATGCAAATGAAAAGATCTATATGATGGGTATGAAATATTTGAAAATGAAAAATAGCAATTGTCAGCAGTTAGCTGTGCAAGAATATTCGAAATATTCGGATGAGTGTGAGGAATCATCGGAGGAGGAGGAGAAAGGGACATCTGATTCAGAATCAATGGATTAGGAAATCGGTATAAAGGAAAATCGTGTATTTAAAATAAATATATTTTCTATGAAAGTCTGTCTATTTAAGATCGATTATTATTTATGGAATCAAATGGACCAAAGCTGTTTTTATACCCTTCACCACACTGTGGTACTTGGTATTATGCCTTTGTGCACCTTTTGAGAATATGCATAGAATCAATTTCTGAGTTATTTTATGTCCGACTGTCCGACTGTGTTAAATTGTAAACAAAGTACAGGTAGTATTTATGATCCGAATGAGCTATTTATTTGGCCCAAGGACGACCCTATTGCATTTAAAGAAAATCGGTCGGGTTATATATAGATATATAGGTTTGTCCGATATAACAAGAATAGTTCACCCAAGTCAAAATATCTGACCTGAAAATACCTACAATTCCAACGGTATTTAAAATATTACATGTCAGGCTCTGGTATGAATCCTAGTTCATACCAGAGCCGGACATTATTAATATCGCACAAAAATTACTAAAATGGCGGACTTATGAAAATTGCGCCTCAATGAAATATTGATTTTAGAACTCAAATGCGTCCGTCCTACTGGACGGCTGGTGCGCACGATAACTCTCATTAAAACTTTTCACATCGTAATATTTCTTCCAAACTTAGATCAAGTTTGATGTTGGGGAATATCGGTCTAATCCTTCTGGTACCGGCCCCACTAAATTGTCAAAAATGTTGCTGAAAATTAATTTTATATTATGCGAGTAGATCAATCGATTCTTTACCAAGCCTAGACAAAGTCCAAAGATTGGTATCATTGATCCATTCATTCTGACACCTCCCCCATAAAGGGCGAATATGTTCAATATTTATAAATTCAATTTTCAATATTTATAAGCAAATGGAATGCCCGATTTTATCCATACTGTACACATCGTTACGTTTTGTATACCCTCCGCCACAGTGGATGGTATATCAATTTGGTTTTTACGTTTGTAACTCATCGAAATAATCATTTACGACCCTATAAAGTATATAAATATTCTTGATCAGCGTAAAATTCTATGACGATTTATGCATGCCCATGTGCCCGTTTGTATTTTGTAATCACTCTAGCCTATAAAGGAATTGAGATAGATCGCCAAAATTTTGCATAGAGTTGTCTTTTGCCTGCAGACAGGTTAAGTTCGAAGTTTGACCGCATTTTTCGACCGAATTGGCTATAATTTAGTACATTTAGTTCTTTTATCTCCTATAAATATTATAGATATAAGTCCATTGTTTCGCGTAGCCCCATATAATTGTACGCCCCAAATTTTCGGACTTTGGGTGTTTTTGAGCGCGTTTTTAACCAAATTATCTGAAATTTGAAACATTGGGTTCTTATTAGGTATCAAATTTCTCCACTAACAATTATAAATATAGGTCTACTTTTTTGGTAGCCCCATATCACGGTCCCCCCAAATTGTCGGTATTTTGGAGGTTTTGATGGTGTTTTTCGACTAAATTGGCTGTAATTTAGTACTTTGTGCTCTTATTGGGTAGCAATGTGGTACAGGGTATTATGTCTTTGTGCATATAGAAGAATATAGAATAGAATCACTTTCTGTCCTTCCATCCGTCACTCTGTCCGTTTGTTGATGTTAAATTGTAAACAAAGTACAGGTCACATTAATCATCCGATTTGGTTGAAATTTGGCACAGCTCATTTATTTGGTCCAAGGACGAACCCTATTCGTGAAAATCGGTTTAGATTTAGATATAGCTCCCATATATATTTACGTCCGATTAAATGTAAATGCACACAATATAGGACTTGCTGCACAAAAGTCTCTATATATCCTTCGATTTGCCCGAAATTTGACATAGCGTACTAAATAAAGTCTAGAATGATGTGTGGTAAGTTTCGTGAAAATCGGTTCAGCTCCCATATATATTTTTGCACGAAATTTAGCATAGCGTACTGAATTGAGTCTAGAATGATGTGTGAAAATCGGTTCATATTTAGATATAGCCCTATATATATTTCGTCCGATTTAATGTAAATGGTGCACCAAAGTCCCCCAAAAATTTTCGATTTGCATGACATTTTGGCATATTGTACTGAATTAAGTGTAGAATGGTGTGTGCTAAGTTTCATGAAAATCGGTTTAGATTTAGATATAGTTCCCATATATATTTTCATCCGATTTAATATAAATGGTGTACCATGTCCCTATATATCTTTCGATTTGTACGAAATTTTGCATAGCGTACTGATTGAGGTCCAGAATGAGGTGCGCTAAGTTTCGTGAAAATCGACATCCACATTTAGATATAGCTCTCATATATATTTTTGTATGATTTCAAGTAAATGGTGCGCCAAACTCCTCATGTTTTTCAGATTGACACGAAATTTTGCACAACGTATCCAATTGGGACTAGAATTAAGTTATTGTGTCTTTTTTTTTTTTTGGTGAAATGGGTGGAGATGCAGACATAGCTTCCATATATATGTCGAACGGGTATCTGAGTGATATTACCAAATAGTGTGTATCAAGTGGGTTATAAATAGTTATCTAGTTTCTTTCGCTTTTTGGCGTTGGTTCTAAGACTCTGTTTTAATCATACTACCAGCGCAGGATATCGAGATAAAACACTTTACTAGAGTAAAGGAAGTTATTGTGATTGAAAAATGTTAGTTTCGAAATTGAACAATAGCAGTCCTCAATTAGCCATAACACCTCATATAATGATAACTACAAATGTTCGGTCATACCTACACGATCTAATCCATATTGGTCTCGCTTAAGGTATAGCCTCCAGGGACGTGCGCATACAATTTTTTTTTCTACAATAACAATTTTTATATTGAACCGGAAGCTTTTAACCAACCCTATAACTGCGCCCTCTAAATTGTAGTATTTTGGGGTGGAACATCCATGCGTCGTCAATATCGGTCTAATTTTGGTGTTCTTGGGAATAATCACCAATAAAAATTTCTAAAATTTGCATTTGGTGTACATTATGCTTTACATAAATCGGTTAGTAGAATTGTCGATATAGGTCCACTTTTTGGAATATTCCCTATATTTTCATTTCAAGTTCCTGTTCGTATAGTATATAGTTGGGCTCGGCCGAACTTAACCATTTTTTCACTTGTTTTGTAAAATGCTTAGCTTTAAAAGCTTTTTATAATATCATGCGAATAGAACATCGGATTTCAACCAAACTTTTTGCAGCTTAATATTTTAACCATACCGGTATATTGTTGAACGATGGAATTTATCGGCGCAGTCCTTCTAGTATCTGGGGTCAAAATTTCGAAACTTTGTGAATCGTTTATAAAAGGAACGGAAAATACAAATTGCATCCAAACTTAGCACATCATATTATTATTACCTTACCTAGATCAAGTTCGAAGATGGAACCTGTCAGTATACTCCTTTTGGTACCTCGCCCACGAAATGTGTAAATATTAAGCATTTCATTAGCTTCTCATTCGATTTGGCTCAAACTCTCGTCGTAATTTTACCAAGTCTACATCAAGTCCGAAGATGGGACTCAGCGGTTCACTCCACCCGGTACCTCCGCCACAAAGATTTAACCCGAATAGTGCTGTAATTATTTTTTTCGAATTTTGGGACGAAACTTTTAGCGTCTCTAGATTGTGAGTCACTGAATCCAAAATTTGATTTGTAACCTTTTTTCTTATCAGGATAATCGACAGGATTAATTTTTGGGCTGTGGCCACACACACTAGTACTGCTCGGGTACAGGTTTTTTAGATTATTTATTGATCGTCTTATGAGCGTGACCATATGGTCACGCTAGCACAGCTCGGGTTAAACTTTTGAAAGTTTTTTTTAATTAAATATCAATCGATATCACTCTTTGTGGCACCTCTACCATAAAATGGTCAAAATTGTGCTGAAAATTAATGCTATGCGAACGAGCTTGAATCAAACAACCTAATCGCCAAACGAAGTTGCAGTCACTTGCTAGTTATATTAGTAGTTTATTTTGAAAGTGGTTTAAGTCCAATGAAACATATATTTAAATATTTTGAAAAGTTGGGTTTGATTTGTTTCAAAATTATTGCTAAGTGGCATACATTTCGAATGCGGCTTTGTGTCCTTACACATGATAGGTTTTATAACGTAATGTGTTTTGTAAACTTTTTTAGAAAACCAAGATTTATATCAGAACCTAAAGTGGACTTAAACCACTTTCAAAATAAACCACTCATATTTATAAATAAATTTTACTTGCTAATTTGTTGGCCAAAAACAAACTTCCAATCGCCCATACACACTGTCGTCTAAAAAAATATTATAAATATCCAAAACTTTTTGCAAAGTTTAGTGGTTTTAATTAATTAATCGCTGGTCTCTTTAATTTACTGCTAGGTGTGTTGCCATTAACACTCAAAGTTGGTATAACTTTTTCTTGTCGTTTTCATTTGCTGTTGATATCCTTGATAAGATGTTTTTTGTTTTTTGCTTTTTTTCATTTATTTTATTACTAATGACGATTTATGGCAAAGCTATGTGATGTGTATGTATGTTGTCATTTTTATGACGTAAATTAGAAGTTATGACGTTCTGAAAAAAAATGATTCAATGCTCGAAATTTGTCGCCCAGCTGTTAGGGGGCCATGTTATTTGTTAAGCAAATCCTTAACATGACCGTGCATCATGCAATAGCCTTTGTTTGTAGAGGTTGTTCCAATCAAACTCATCCTTCGGCTGGGTTATGACGTTGCTGATTTTCGTTTTTGATATATATTTTTTTCGATTTCAGTGAGGGGTTTTCTTTTGGCGTAAATGTCATGACATCTTAGATTGCGTGTTTAATTGATTCGTGTCTGATATGAAAGTTAGGCTTGTTATTGTTTTTTTCTTATTCTTTACAAGAAATTGACCACCCATAGTTATTTATTGTTTGAATAAGTTTTCTTCTTTTTTTTGGATAAGTTAGGTAAGGCATTATTATGGCCGTTGTTGAAAGAAGATATTAAAATAAAAATATTTAAAAAAGTGAAAGTTAACATTT